CGCGTGCTGTTCCTCCTTCTCAGCATCGTCGATGCCAGCTCTCTAGGCTGCGCAAGGCTCCTCTTGACAGGCAACGAGCACTACTCGAGATTCTTGCAGCTCATGGCCGAGGAAGGTATGGGACTAAGATTAGACGTACACGGCTTGTGGCACCACGCTGCGCTCTCACAGCGAGCTCGCGAGGCCAAAAAAGGCACGACAGGCGGCGCAACCCTCTTGACGAGTGATGGTCATCTCACAGAAGCGCCTCTTGGAGCGCTCGCTAGCGTCGCCTCGCCGTCAGAGGAAGGCCAAAAGGCAGACGCGAACGACAAGGCAGCGTACAACGCGTCGATGGGTCTACCGGCCGATCTAGACTTGTCTCTTGATCTAGGTGGCGCGCAACCCCTCAGTCCATCTGCCAAGAGCACAAGACCCGCTCAGGCTACGGACGTACCTTCCGCCTCGCACGATGGCCCTATCACGCCACCTGAGCAGGACATCGATCTTTCTGACCCTGGTTGGAAACGCCTCGGCATTGGTGCGAGCGAAGCAGAGGTCCTGGACATACTCGGCTTGGCGTATCTGGAACCTGCACAACGCAACATCAAAGGTCCAGCAGACGAGTCTTCACCTTCTGAATCACTTGCATAAAGATTCCCTTTCCTCTAGCCCCGCGCTTTTGCGCGCTCCCTTTCATCTGATTTCGCTTGCACTGATGATTGCTTGCGTAGCAAGCTAAGCTGCACTGCAAAATACCAAAACGTCTCGAAAAGAGGTTGCAAAGAGTGAATGCTAATCGATGCAGTGTGATCTGTGATGTGCTCATCAATGCCCTCAGCTCAACTTGAACAGCTACGGCAAGTCGGCTGCGAATTTCGAAGCAAGTAGCTGCTAGTCGAGGTTGCAGCAAGAGACGTGTAGAATGCGGCCTATATGGAATACAAGAGGGGTTGAAGAAATGGTCAAGGGTCGACAAAGACAACGTAAGTTGCGATCGAGCGTCGCGAGAGTGATTTGTCACACAGCTCAGGGATCACTGCGAAAGACTAGCTTGGTGGTGCTTGGTTGGCTGGAGCTGGTCGATTGGCCCAACCTCCGTATGAAGGCGGCAATTCCTCCATCGCGTCCTCTTCGTCAGAGTCTGGCACAGGTGCAGGACCAGCATCCTGGTGTTGCACGAATCTAGAAGAGCTAGGCGCGTTGGTGTCTTCGGGTAACGCTCCTTTACGAGGCAAGGGGGGAACGTCGCCCGTGCCTGGCTCGGCAAGATTTCTTGCGGACAATCTGTAAGAATCGCCAGCGGCGACGCTGCCTGGTCCATGGCTGGTTGCGCTTGCAAAGTCTCCACCGTACTCGGATCCGCCCACGGTACTGCTGATGCCACCTGTCCTGCCTGCATCGGTGTATCCACTTGAAGAGAGTGGACCAGGACTGCTGGGAGGGTATCTCAGCCCGGCACCGGAATGTCCCCGCAGGGCGTTCGAGGCGACGCTCTGTGGCCTGCCCGGAGCAGAGAGTGGCTCATCGCGGTACAAGTCATGTTCTCCGCCTAGACCAGGAGAATGCTGGGCCGTCGATTGGTATGTGAAGGGCGAGACGGCGCTGTTTGAAAAGAGTACTGGATGTGTCAGGCGAGGTGCGATCAGAAGAATGGAGATGTGCCACTCACTAGCTTTGGCTGACTCCAGCATCGTGCCTGCCACGTCTCGCAGCCAGAGCAGCTGGCGAGAGCTGTCCATCCTCGTCTCCGTCCAGGTCCACGAATTGGGGTTGCTCCTTGCGCGCTTCCTCCCTCTTTGCCTTCTGGCGTCGTCTGTACAGGAAAAAGGCGACAAGCGCAGCTACGACGATGGCAACCGCAATGACAGCGCCGATCACACCTCCAACAAGGCCGCCCACTGGGAGAATCACATTCCTGATTTAGCAAACGCATCTTGCGCTGTACGGGAGAGCACTCACCGTTTGTGCCGCCACCCCCACCACCTCCATTTCCGTCATTCCCCGACCCTGCATTTGCCTCATCTGCGGTCAGGGCGCCGGCAAGATTTTGGAACGAAGCAGGAATGGCGCCATTTGGAACTGCGCGCCCAGAAAGTTGGTTTGGCTGGCGTCGTTGCAGACAACTCGTGTCGGATGAAGGGAGCACGTTGTATACGGGCGAGCCCCCACCACTTCCAGCTCCCTGCGCATCACTGAGCATCGTTACAAATCGCGTGCCAGATTCAAAGGGCACGGTGACGTTCGGCGCGATGAAGAATGATGTGTTCATGGTCTGAGAAGCTGGGACGTTAATTGTGACCGGCAGCCCGCCCAAGGGAAACATGGTGATGGAGAAAGGACTCGTGCCTCGCTGATCGACAGGATAGAACTACGACCACAAGAAGAGTAAGCGCATTGTTCAAGTCACACGGTGACATTTGGAGACGCACCCTGACATTGCCGCACTGGTACCTCAATGCTGGAGAGCCTCCGCTGGTGTTGTCACCAGCCCAAGTGAAAGAATTTGAGGAGGTGTAGGCTGGGCAATCTGAAGTGGTGTTGCGCGTGTCGATAGACATGACTTGTGCTGATGAAGAAAGACAAGAGATCGAGTCAACAACCGACTTGTGAGCTGCACAATCTGTGGGTCATACGTACACGTCGTTCCTTGCCCCTTGCTGTCGGTCAACGCTACGATATACGAATTGAACAGTCCAGTGGGGGGCTGAACAGGGGTGTATCAGTCCGCGCGTCAGCAATCGCCTTTGCACAAGCTTGCCCACCATTCCATTGGCTGACTCACAGGCACAACGTACTGAAACGTCAATTGTGATGCACCAGGCTGGTAATCTGAGTCGACACTGAATGTTTGAGCTACGAGAGGGAGGAGCATCGATCAGAGCCAGTCAACGCATCATGACGTAGGACGACGGAGCACAATTTCGTGGCTATAATGTTCCATTCGAGTCTCACAGGCTCGGTCGTGAACAACGGCCTGAGCCCAGATGCCAGACCGCCATCGAGCTGACGAGAAGCATATTAGCCGCCGTCAGCCTCAATGCGCCTAGCGGGAAGTCACAAGAGGATGGCAAAGGCCAGAGACGAGAGCAGGTGGGATCGCATGCTTGGCCCTGTGCCCTACAGAAAATTTCACTCCATCGTGCAGAAGCGGGGTCTGGATCGAAAGGACTCACCTCCAAATCCTGTGGCCACGATGCTGACCGTGTAGGGATATCCATCGCTTTCAGGAGTCCATGTGACATTAAGAGGCTTGCACTGCCTTGAGAAGCTCGTCGTCATCGTGAGCGCCGCCCGTGAAGTGCTGGCGAGGAGCACAAGTGCTGCACCGAGCGCGGGAATCCATGTTGTCGACCTCATCGCGTCCTCCTGCCAGCGGCTGAATCGTGCTCCGGTGCAATGACCAGACGATTGAGAATAAGACCGGACTTGAGCTTGTGTTTGGCGAAACGAGGAAGTCAGTCAGATGGCGAGCGACGCCCTCTTTGCCAAAATTGTGACCCCTTAGGCAGCGTCCGATTTTCTTTGCAGTTACGCAGGTGCGGTCAGCGCCGGCTCGAAGGGGCTCAACGTGTCGGCGGAACGTAAAGTGCGTGAATCTTCAAGCAGGAAGTGAAGAGGTTGCGAGATGGCGCTTGTAAGTGATGGCGGTTGCATGCGACGGATAGAGCAGAAAGACTGAAGAAACTGACGGCACGCGATGGTCGTGAGCGAGCAACGAACGTAAGGATTGTCAAGGTAAATTACAATCATGAATCAAACGGTGAATGCAAGCGACCTCGCGTCTCACAATTGAAGCTTGAATCGAGTGATTTCCAAATTGGAATCACGAACGCGAATCCAACATCACAGACGAGGAGACTCGTCGTGGGCTCTTGCACTGTCTCTTGACTTCTCTCAGGGCGCCCGCTTGCAGGAGTGCACCCTATCTATTGCATGCGCCATGCATCAGGCGAGGGCTCTGCGCCACTGGCCTCGGCCACCGAGTTGATTTGCTTGGCGGCGTGATGCGGAGCAGTCTCCATTCATGCAGGATGAGCACAGCTTCCGTGCGTGCATGATGCTCACACTCATCAGAAGCCATCAGCAACAATTTCATCGTGAATTGACATGCATATATACAGTCACGAGTGTACATCACATCCTGCATCATCAGCAGGACCGCGTGCGAATCCGTTCAGCGCGGCTGTGCTGCAGCAGTCACTAAGCCCTGAAAAGGACAGCATGTGCATCTAACTACTCTACTCGTGGCTCACGACTGTGTACTCGTAAGTCGTGACTGTGTATGCCGTGGGCTCGACATGATGCTGAAGGCCCATCGTGCCGCGCTGTCTGTATACTTAGAAGGATGTAGAGTCGTGAACCGTGAGGCTCCCAGCCGCCCAGCACACACCTGCATGTCGCGTCGCTGGCACTGCTGCTGTGTAGCGCTGCTGCCCGAATGATCGTCTCGGCCCCGGGCGAATGCGGCAAGAGGATGTCGCAAGTCCGCGACCCCGCGGTGTGCGCCGGGCATCGCGCTGATCGAGCTCGAAGCAGGCAGGACACGAAATGTTTTCCACTACTCACACTCTTGACTGCGAGCTCTGGCGGGGTCAGTCATCATGACCATGCATAGACGCGGACCCTCAAAACAGAGGTAGCAAGCATCCCACAGCGGCCGTTGGGCCGGCCCTGTCAATGATTCGTGACTAATTGATCTGGCCTAGAAGCATGACCATTCACGCTGTTGCGGTCAGTCTGCGGCAACGCCAGGCGTCTTCTTGACGAGCAGACAACCTCGATCGATTGTGACCACTTGACAGCATACAATCACGAATTGTGAACACGTCCACACCACTTTGCCGAGCGCGATTTATGCTTCATTCGAGTCAAGAGTGACCTACGGGAAAGCGTCTTTTGAGTCTATATAGCGCGGCGCGGTCACGTTTGGAATTTGGCCCAACTTCCCTCGGGTCGCTCGAGCCGCTCGATACCACTCACCACTGTGAGTATACATACAGCTCTGAAAAGCTCGACAGAGGGCGCGAAGCTGATCAGATCAAAAGTCTTTACGATTCTTGATGTACTGTCAAAGCTTTTGCGTGGACGTTTGGTGACAATCGAATCTTTACAAACATTCTTCATTTGATTGTTGTGATATCAGATTTGAATCAGAAATCTAAGCTCAAGACTTCTAATCGAATGCGACTCTTGAAACGTTAAACCCCCGACTCCGCTTGGACTTGCAAAATCGCTGACTGAATGACTGTGGAGGGAAAACGCGATCTTAAATCAAGAATTCAGTCTAATTATAATCAAAGTCATTCGAATTGAAGATTTCGAATTTTGAATCTCTTTGTAAGCGCTCGAGCGCTTCGCGCGGGTGAGCTGCATCAGCGCGAGGATGTCGCAATGCGCGCGCGCCATGCAGCCGGCAAATGATAATCCGCGTCTGCGTGCTGCTGCAGATGGCATGATTTGTTGTTGCGTGACCCTTGCGTCGCTCATCCTTCTCCACTCAGACTCGCGACGTTGACTATGGATGACTTGCCTCTTCTTCTATACTTCACCTCCAAGGCACTACGGATAACCACAATTGCGCCTTTCGTCGAGGAGTATCGGTCCGCCGTTCACTGAGTCGCGTTCAACCTTCAACCTTCAATCTCGCCGTTCCTCATTCGACGCCCACCGTCTCACGTACGCACTCGCCGCGAACAGCCCGCGCGCGCAAGCCGCTCGGACGTGATACGCTTTTGACAAGGGACCGCGCACACGTCCAGCACGAGCACGCCGCACGACACTCATCTCAGCAGACCATCACAATCTGGCAAATATGGCTACCGTATTTGGATTCTCTGCAGCAGCTAGGTCCTTCCCGATAGGCCAGCCAAGGTCAGCTCGTGATCGTTCTGCAGTACGTGCGAGCGGTGGCGCCACCGACTTGGAGATGCAATCCTCGTCCCGCAGAGCCCAAGCAGCATCTGGAGGAAGCACTCTGGCACCTCCTGGATCACAGGATGATGAGCCCTCTCAGCTCGGGCATGGCAGAGAGGCCAGTGGCAGGTCCGTCATGTCCAACATCAGCCAGAGGTTGAGAAACATGAGGGAGAACGACCGAGCTGCCACTGACAACGCTCTGCAGAACAACGAGGATATCAGAATGGCTACGCAGGAAGCGATGACCGCTCAAGCCAACGCTACCGCGGATGGCAGAGCCGCTACAGATCTTGAAGCTCAAGCTGCTCAAAATGGCGCGCCATCCCGCAATGCTGCATACCTAGCCGGTCTGCGTTCCTCCAAGAAAGGCCCAAACAGGCGAGAGCGCGAGGAGGCGGCCTGTCTCTTTGGTCCTAACCTCGCTACTTACTTCCCATCCAACGCGACCTTCTCTGCCGTCTCGCCTTCAGCAGCCGCCCAGCCTGCCGCTGTGGAGCCAGCACAACCTGGAGCGTCCGCAGTCGTCGCGCCGCCAGGCAGTCAAAGTCTGGCAGCCTCATTGGGACGAAAGGCGCGACTGGGTAGCCGAGGCCGTGCCCGAGGTGCAAGCCTCAGCGGTGTAGCTAGTCAATTGAGCTTGCCAATCGGTGCTAGTGAGAGTGTGGCGAGCTTGCCTCAGGGACAAGACCCTGTCGCTTCTCCTTCTCACCCACTCGACGGCAGCGCCCCTCAGCACGCGGACATCACCTCGACCACAGAGGCACTCAATGCCGTAGCTTTGGCCGATGGCATCGAATTGGACACGCTTCAGAGGTGGATTCACCGAAGCGTGGATGGTCAGGCGCCACTGCACTCCCCTAACCTTGACATTTCGGCAGTTCCCGATGCATCGGGCGCCCCTCCCGCTGTGTGCTCAACGCTACAAAGCTACGTAAATCTAAAGAGGAACACTGTCAAACTTGTTTCCGAACCGGGACAACCGGCAGTAATTGCTGCTTCTCCTATGGTCAATGGGGACACGACCGCACCAAGCTCGCCCCTTGAACCGACGAGTCCAGGAGGCTTCTCCGCATCCGAAACGGGTGCTTCTGGATTACGCGTGGCTCCATCTTTCAGCAGCATCACAGCCCTAGGTGCTGGAGGCCCACGCAGCGGTCTGGGTCTTCCTGCCTCTCCTCTCGTAGCTCAACACGGTCGAACAGCCTCGTCCGCAGCGCCTCCCACGACGCACAAGCTCTCCTTCGAGTACGATTGCGCAGCTCCCTTTGCCAGTGTGCAAGTGTTCTTGCGTGCGAGCCGCAAGCACGGCAGCTGGAATAGCGACTTTGCTGCTGATAGAAGCGTCTCTAATGCGATCTCGGATAACTTTTATGCGCAGCGCGGCCCCCCTCCTCATGTGTTAGGCTGGCCAGTGCACTCCGCACAAGTCAAAAAAGGCTTTGGCGATCCTCTATCCATTGCGTTGGCACTCCAGCTCGCTTACTATGCGCCTGCCAGTGGCAGAAAACGTGCCGGAGACGTCTCTGAGGGAGTTGGCGGCGACGTAAACGCAACGAACGACTTGCCGCTCGAAACCCCTGCGCTGAACGCGAGTAGGCAGTTGGAATCTGCACCTGCACCTGTACCTGGCCCCGCCCCGTTGCCAGTCATTCCGGATCAGCCCGTTCCAGAGACCAAGGAGGCTCGCGCTGCTCGCGAAAAGTCAGAAAGAGAGACCTTGAAGCTGGCGGTCGTCGTGGAAGCTCTGGACGAGGATGGCAGACCGCTGAGCGAACCTAACCTGCAGACGACCTATATGCGTGTTACCAGCTTGCCTGTCAAGCCTCCCGCGGGCGACGGCGCCGAGCCAGCTTTATTCGCTCCGCGAGCTTGGAGCATACAGGTGGAAGGGCAAGAAGCCGAGGTGCGTGTTGACCGGCACGCTAACAGAAAATACGCGAATGCTGACCCATCGTGTCGACAACGTTCTTTGCTACAGATTGGCGCTCATCGTTTCCAACTGCAAGAGCTGTATGGTCTGTCCAGGCGCCCCCCACCCGTCCGTCCAGCGCCGCCAGAAGCTGGTGAAGGGGAAGACGGTGAAGCCACGGCGGGCAGCGTCCCTCCGCCACCACCAATGGACCTTGATGGCAGCAATGGAAGCGAGTGCATCATTTGCCTCTCCGCTCCCCCTACCACTTTGCTGTTGCCTTGCACGCACTCCCTTTGCTTGGAGTGTGCCGTGCAGCTCAGGGAGAGCGTCAAGGCTATGAGAGAGACGGAGCGCAGGAGGGGAAGAACGCCACGTCGCAAATACAACTGCCCTGCTTGTCGACGAGGTGAGTCGCTCGCTCAGACGAAATCATTTGAGAGGTTGCGAGCAAGTCGATGCTCACGTCCTGACTCTATGATCCTCATCCAGCATTCACAAGCATGCTGCACCTCAGTTCGGCTGACGAAAAGCAAATCGCACATGCTAACGTCTGATCTCGAGCAGCGCATCTCGTGTCCTCTACTGCTCGTGCATTCTTGATTTCTGTGACCTTGTTCATGTCGTCTCGCGTCACCTCCCCTGATATACCTCGTTTGCGTTTGCATTTTCTTGCAACTTCTTTTTTCTTGCTTACTTCCGCACTCATCACGCCTGTACCCGCGCTGCACGCTAGAAATGACCAATGCCCTCTCGCCGCATTTGAATCGTGTCATTGTTTGCAGCCCTTGTCGTAGCTGTATGAGATTTGGACGCTATTTTCGAGAATGGCCTGAACTCGCTTCACATTACTTCAAGTCACCGGAGAGCGCAAGTGGAATTCCAATAAAATACAGTAACTGAGCAAGGCTGAAGAAGCTAGCACTGCTACGTTGGCATCACATCATGACATGTCGATCGTCCTGAGCGCCCTGCCCATTCACGATTAATACTGGCCCCACGGCCCCGCCTGACCGCCTCCGCGACCGCCTCTACCGTAATTGCCGTACGGTCCTCTTGACGGGGGTTGTCCGCCTCTGAAGCCGGTCGGTTGATGTCTGCCACCGTGCGCATTGGATGGTGCACCTGCGTTGTTACCGCCATAAGCACCTCCATAGGCTCCGTAGCCACCATGGGAAACGCTAGGTGCTGATGATTGTTGCTGGCCGTAGCTGGAGGAGCCGTAACCACCGTAGCCTCCGTTTGCCTGACCATTTCCACCTTGACCGTATCCTCCGTACGCGCCGCCGTAAGCTGGCTGTTGCGGTTGAGTGTAGTTTCCAGCGCCGTAAGCCGATCCATAAGGTCCAGACTGTCCACCTCCGTAACCACCGTAGCCACCGTAGGCCACTGCTTGAGCACCTCCGTAGGCAGCCTGTGGTGCTCCGTACGATCCACCCTGCGCGTCAAGACGATGCGCCAAACCAATCAGTCAGCTGATCATAACTCAAAGAGCAGCTTCGAACAACTCACATAAGCTGCGCCTGCACCGCCACCATACGCGCCTCCGTTCGCTGCCTGAAGACAACGAAGCGCATGGTCAGCGTTGCGGACGTGATTGTGAGCGTTCATTTGACCTACCTGGCCAGAGCCGTAGCTTCCGTAAGATGAAGACTGGTAATCGTTCTGCCCGTAGCTTCCATCTGCGGGTTACACTTGCACACCTTAGCCTCTGGACGGATATAAGAGAAAGACCACGACGTGACTCACAAGGAGAACTGTACGCGCCGTTCTGATACGGGCCGTATGCAGTGTCATCATAGCGAGCATGCGATCCAGTGGACCCAGCACTCGCACGACCGCCGTAGGAGTGCGCGCCTCCGCGATCGTGGCCACCGCGACCGGGCCCGCCGCGGCCTCTGCCTCTGCCTCGACCGCGGTCGGGCGCCCCGTTTCTGGTCCATTCACGATCGTCTTGTGTGAGAACTTTAGGAGGGGGCCTAACACCTTTGAGGAGAACGCTCTTGTGAGGCGTCGTTTGTTCGGGGAAGCTGTAGATTGCAGAGATTGATCTGTCGCTGCTGATGTCTACTTCACCCACCCGCTCCAAAGGCGAGCTAAAAGTCGACCCTGGCACACACTGAGGGTCCGCCATGACCAGGCCCGACAGCTTTTGGGATAGGGCCGGGTCTAGAGGAACAGGATCTTTGCTTTTCCGTTTGGCATAGAGGCTACACAGCGCATCGTAGAGCGAGTGTTCGTCCGAGACGAAGAGCGAATTGTTTCCGAACGCATTTCGGCGGACTTCGTCTGGGGTCAGTCTAGGATACAGACGATTTAGGGCTGTGAGTAGCCTTTTCTCGTCAATGAACGGCAAAATTGCAACTCCTTGCCATTCCATCTTCTTGCCATTCATATCGATAGCGAAGGTTTTGGGATAAAAGTCGATGATTTCTGAGTCTTCTTCCAGCATCAGGGGATGGAAGATTGGGGGAATACTTGCCCGACTGTGAGACGCGCAAGCACGCCTTTCAGCAATCGTCTCAACTCTGCAAATGGGATACAAGAACTCACCTTTCGGCGGGCAGGACTCCCATCAGCTGGTCGTAAGGTCTAAATGGCGTACCCAAATTGAAATGTATGTCCAGCTCATCAAGATCCGCAAAGTCCGCAGCGAAGGGTGAGAAGTGGTACGGATAGTACCAAGTCCAGCTGGGACATCCCTGATAGTAGTAGGCGAGGACCCAAGCGAGACCCTCGACGTAGCTTTTCACGATTGCGCGCCGGAGCTTGATGTCATCCAAGCCCACGCCAAATTTTTGCTGGTAGTATCTTTCTCTGTAGCCTGGCTCCCACAGCTTGACAGTATCCTCGTACTCTACGGTGCCGTCAGGGTTGACCTTGCGTTCCAAATTCGATGCAATCACGGGATCCGTCCTATCCTGAGAATCAGCATCATCCGCATTCTTGACCTGCACGACCCCATCGGCTAGCGCCACGGCCTTCTCAGGTTTCTCATTGCCTTCTCCATCTACATCGCCATCTACTTCCTCGATTTGACGCTTCAACGATCGCACTGGTGCCGATTCACCACCGGCCTCGATGGAAACGTCTTCGTCCATTTTGAAGACTGCGAAATTATCGGACGATGTGTGTGCGACAGCTGTTGGAGCAGCATTCTCAGGAGCCTTGCTCGCGTCACCATCGTCGGCAGCATCCGACAACTGGGGTTGTCGAGGGGCCACGCCTTTAACTCGAGCGTTGGCCGCCTCGGCTTTTGCTTTTGCTTTCGCGCCCGCCAGCTCAGCTTTCAACCGATCAGCTGCACTCAGGTTGGCCATGCGTATGGTCCGTAGGTTGTCGATGACTTTGGCATCATCTCCGCTCTCTATGGCCGCAAGTGCTTTGGCACGGACACCTTCGCTAGCACCGTGTACTGAGGGTTCGTTGCCTTCGTTGGCGCGGGGAACAGGCACATACGTTGTGCCGCCCCGATGCAAAGCTTCGCCTGCCTCTTCTTCCCCACGAGCCCTTTTCTCAGCTGCAAATTGCTCCCTTTGACGCTCGTGATCCTCCACCTTCCTGCGCTTTTGTCGCTCCTCGCCCCGCTCCTCTGCAATGCGCCTCTTGCGAAAGATGTCGTCTTCCAGTACGGCAATACCGTCCATGACGCACTGAATGTTCTTCAGGCTCACACTTCCATGCTTTGTCAGGTAGTCTCCGAGCTTTGGCAATTCCCTCTTCCATATTCTCAGCAACTCGTCAATCGCACCCTCTCGAATTTCCAGTGAGGGTAGATGCGGCAAGAAATCGTTTCCGACAAAGAAGATCAGGAACACCCAGTCGTCGATAGCTCGTTCGAGATCGAACGCGAAGGGCATGCCTGGTACATGCAGCTCGACTTCAAGATATTCTCGCAAAACAACAACGTCCAGAAAGATGAAAGGCTTTTTCAGCTCTCCGTCTTGCGTCTTCGGCGCCTGCTTGTGAGTCAAGTCTACTCCAGGCGGTGGAGGTTGCTCTGCTCCAATGCAATTGGCTGCGATATGACCTTCGCGACCACACTTGTGACAACCCTTGCCGCCAGAGGAAGGTGCCTGAGCGAAAACATCTTCACGCAAGACCTTGAAGTAGGGTTCGTGCGTAGCTAGTGAAAGCATGATTAGATCGGCATCCTTCAGGGGCAGCATCTTTCGAGTCAGCCCTGTGCGAAGCGTCAGATCATACCTGTCCATTGGGAACTCACTAGACCGTAAATGACGTGCTTTGTGTTGGGATCGTGTGCAGGTTGTGCTCTCTGCCGTCGAATGTAGTCCATGATCTTGTGCTCTCCTTCACCCGGAACTGAGGCATCTGAGATGATGACTTGCAGCTGTCCAATGGGTAGAAGAAGCGTCAGCTACAGTGCCACGCATAATGCAGTGCGGTGCGAGCTCACATTCTTCCACCCTGCGTCTTCATTCATCTTCTTGGCGACCCAGTACCGCAAGCTAGCAGCCAGCAGGTCCATAAAGGGCGTACCTGGTGTGATGGCATTGCGATCCCAAGACTTTTTCTTTTCGCTGCCCTCATCCAACACTGTCAAGCCTCTGCCTGCGTAGCGAAGGTGATCAGCACACTGTTCATGCCCGTCTTGCAACAGCTCTGGCTCTGCTCACTTTTCCACTCTTCCAGCGCTTTGGCCATTTCCTCCTCCTTTTCTCTCGCCTCCTGGGCAGCTCTGAATCGTCTGGATCGCTGCTGATTCATCTTCGCTCTGGGAGCCACTCCATCAATAGCCATCATGAGGAGTTTGCGAGGCCTAACCATGTTTACTACTCTCTCCGTGTACTTGAAGACCTCCAGCATCATGTCCTCTTCAGTCTCCGGCGCAGGCTGCAAATCGAGGCGCGAGTGGGGTCAGAGAACTCATCGAGCAGTCAGGAACGGGCGCATACTATCATTCAAGTCTCCACTCTGCTACTTCAACCACACTCACTTTGCCCTCCGGATGCGTACAAGGATGCACGATACCATTCATGTCCAGGTACAAACAATCGAACTCTTCCCCGTTCGGATTCTTGCCACTAATGTCTATCGGTATTGGGACACCCTTCTCCTCCCCGTCAGTCTGCCCATCATCTCCCCGTCCTTCTCCGCTCGGCGCATACCTTTGCTCCTCCTCGACGACATTGGTGACGATCTTGGGGTACTTTTTGCTGAGCCAGCGGAAGAGGGCGGGCACACCCATGATGGTCTACGTGTCCAAAATGACGCGTGACGCGTGAAGACTCGGTCGCGATGAGTCGCTGGATGTGAGACAGGCTGCAGGTGGATTGGATGGGTGTTTGAGGCCCTGACCGAGGAGTCGTGAGTGCAGCAGCGGTGATAGAGCGCCTCGTCTTGATGGCGAACAGCGGCTGATGAGAGCGATTTGATGAATCGTTCCTTCTTCGATGCCGCGTTCTGTTGCTCAAGCTTCATCGTGATGCCATATGCGTGCGCGTATGCGTGGGCCGCGCATCAGGGTTCGCCTGACAGCATATCACGTGCAAGAAAATGACCATCAGTCTCCTGAGTCAAGAGTCGAGGAGGTCGTCAACGCCCACGTGGCGTGCATCCAGCGTTTGGCCCCGATGAACATCGCGAGCGCACGGCCTACGTGCAGTTCCGCGACGTTGATCGCGATCCCTCATCTTCGGCAGGTCTAAGCTCATCAGCATAATCTACAGCTCCACGCAACCACGACGCACTTCGACTTCAATCCAAGTTCGCAATTACAGTCAAGATGTTCTCTTCTCGAGCCGTTTCAGCACTTCGCGCCGCTGCCGCGGCCAGGCCCGCTTTGGCTCGCTCCGCCGTCCCAGCTCTAGCTCGTCGTGGATACGCCGAGGCCGTCAGCGACAAGCTTCAGCTTGAGCTCATCCTTCCTCACGCTGTGAGTAGATTACCCCTTGCTCAGCGGAGCAATCGTCGCTGCTGTGCCGACAGTGACGTAGGAGCTGACCGGTATCCTTGCTTTGCATGTTTCCCCTTGGCAGGCTCTCTACCAGGGAGAAGTCACACAGGTGAACCTCAGCAGCACTTCGGGTGACATGGGTATCCTTGCTTGTGCGTAGCAGCCCGGTGCACGGCCTCAGCTAAGCGTGGACTCTTTGGTGTGTCTCACAATCGGATCGTGCTGACCATGAGTCGGTCCGCATTCCACAGCTCACGTTCCCTCCGTGGAGCAACTCGCACCCGGTCTGGTGGAGGTTATTGAGTCGAGCGGTACCAAGCGTTGGTTTGGTGAGTTTATCACATGGAAGCGCTCGGCAGAGGAAGAATGGTGGAGGCAGCTACGGAGGCTCAGTTGCAGCGTTGCACACGCTTCAAGCAGTCGACCAGGGCTTTACGCAACTCAACGTGGCTTGAGGCCGGCTCGTCCTTCCAGAAGCGATGCCCTACGAGAAAGGCTGACCCAAACACGCTCGTGCACTGCATGGCTTGACAGTCTCGGGTGGCTTCGCCACGGTCCACCCAAACAACAAGCTTACCATCAACGCCATTGAGGCCTACGAGCTGGACCAATTCTCGCCCGAAAACCTCAGAAATGCGCTCTCCGAGGCTCAACGTGTCGCATCAGGTTCAGGCAGCCCCGAAGCCAAGGCCGAGGCAGAGATCGAAGTCGAGACTCTTACCGCTCTGCAAGCCGCTTTGAGCCGCTAAGGAGAAACGAAGTTGAGAAGTCGAATGAGAAAGACCTTTCGTCCGACACGTGAAGGCTTGCACGCATCAGCCTTGTCTTTCGGCTACTCGCACCTAGAGACAATCGATGACTCAGACCGACTCATGAATCACTTGTTCGCACCCAGATGCTGACGTCTTCCAACCAAAACTACGACCTTGCATAAAATGACAATGATGAAGCGGTGGTAGGTACAGAGACATGAGAGATCCTTAGAAGATGCGAGGCAAGCAGACATTGGTAGCAGGAAGAGCGGGAAAGCAGTACGTAGCGATTTACGATAAAGGTTTCAGGACGAGACTTTAAGATGCACCTTCAGTGCATTGCAGGTGAAGGATTGGTCCAACGGGTCGAGCCGAGCGTACGCACATTGTATGCTACGAAGATTGCGACGCAGCAAACTCGTCCGTGTCGCTAACGACTGACCATTCGGCGTCAGATGTCTGCATGCCAGAATTGATGCTAGCTATGCTGCCTTGCATGTCAGGTTCAGCTGTGGTTATTCGTGGGGGCAGGTTGTCACTGTGCGACATGTCCCCACTGCCAGAAGTCGTGGACAGAGCAATCTCCAAATTGTGGGCCGGCTGTTCGTTGTCCGGCTGTCGATCAGGGCGGCTGTGCTGCTGGTCAATGGGCTGCTTGGTCGATACTTCTACGGCACCGGGTAGCCTCGTGTTCAACTTGATAAGACTTGTTGCATAATCGAGATGATGGAATATAGCAGCGATCGCATTCTTCACACCGTCCTCCTTGCGAATCTGCTCGCCGAGCGCTTTCGCCCTCTCGATCTGTCTAGGGCTTTGGGTAGCTTTGACAAGAGCTGCAGCTAGATTCTCCGCGGTAAGCTCTCGCACACAGGAGCCGACGCCAAGGGCCTCGAGCTGAGCGCCCCAAAAGAACTAAGTCGGGGTGAGAGATGCGAAGAGTCAGATGGCTCAGGATCGCGGTCGAGTCGGTCAAGCTTCTCACCTGGTCTCCAAAGTATGGCTTCACTATGGTGGGAATCCCTGCTCGTAGACTTGCCCCAGTGGTGCCGGCCCCGCCATGATGGCAAGCAGCGTCGATCTGGGGAAAAAGCCTGGGTACAGCAAACGCATCTCAATCAGTACGCATTGGAATACGCTCTACCTACTCAAGTTTCAGACTTACCAGTCGTGGGGTATGGAGCGCACCTCAAACACATCTTCTGAGATGGGCGAGACGGGCTGAGGGCTTGTCTGCTCTGTGGGTTGCAGATGCCTGTCAGAGAGGCGATCTGACCATCCTTTGGACAAAATAGCGCAAACCCCAGCCTGCCGAACGGCTTCGTAAATGCAGCGAGTCATCGCTTGCGCATCGCGTACGACGATCGAGCCCCATCCGATGTAGACCAGTTTGCGCGAAGCTGCCTTGGCGCGTTTCAGGAACGCTGCGAGATCATCAGGCGGTGTCCAGCTTTGGTCTCCGTCAGGACGCCTCAAGAACCAATAGCCAGTCACATCAATCCACTCGTACCAATCCTGCGAGGATGAAGGAGGACTCAGTGTTAGGCGGGAATGTGACCGCTTCGAATGCGAGACTTACGAGTGGCTTCGGTACTACGCTTGGAGAGAAATTGTACAGGAAAGGCACCCGATGCGGTTCAAGCCGGTCCAATGAAGTAGGCTGAAGCCCAAGGCAGGTCTTCCGCCATGCGTTTATCTGACCTGCCGAGGCGCGCCAAAAGACCTGGTCGAACACCACATAGGTCTAAAGGCGGAGCTATGACGTGAGTCGCTCGGCCAACATCGTCTCCAAAGAACCGCGCTCACTATATAATTGTAGTTGCCGCCTGCGCGCGAGGTAGGAACGGCGAATGCGTGTGGATAGGCGCGGGTGCGTGACCATATCATCGTGAATGCACGATAGTAAGGCTTTTGCAAAGCTTCCGCGATGTGGATACCAGCAATCGCGCTCGGCGACTCGATAACAACATCAGTGCCTTGGCACGCTTCCCACGATGATTTCAAGAGGTCGTCAAGCCACCCTCGGAACTAGACGTGACTTTTGATGAGTCAAAGCGTGTCTTGAGCCTGAAGGCGAAAGCTGTGTGTGACTCACTTTTGAGACGCCCTCGCGCAGAAAGGACACTGTGAAGGTCCCGTTCTCGACGCATATTCTCATCAGCTCTGCAGGATCTCCACCAACTTCCCTGAATTCAATGCCATGGCTTTCTATCCACGCTTTGAATTCGAGATGCGTCGCGATGCGAACACGATGGCCCGCATCTTTCAGGCCTTGTCCCAAGGCGATGAATGGTTGAACGTCGCCGCGCGAGCCGATCGTCAAGAAGGTGAAATGTAGACTTCTGGCGTGATCGAATGACTGCAATGAGGTGCTGGGGTATGATGCGGCGCTCGAATGTGAAGTCGGCGAAAACGGAACGTCAGCTCGCTTGCTGGTGGTACCGAGACTGCCGCTGAGCGTCGGTGCGCTGCTGTTGCCTTGCCGAATAGATATGCGTTGACTCAAGTCCCGCAGCATCAGAGCTTCTTTCGTAGCGTTGTCGCCAACACTAACTAATCCTTGTTCAACTCTATTCACATCATTTGCGAGCTCCTCCACGCGATAGTCTATTTGCGCCATGCACTCGTCGCGGCGTTCACGAGACCCAAATTCCAGAAAGAGCCTGAACCGGACAAGACACAAGACAGTCAATGCACTGCACGAAGTCTTGATTGCCGAGAAATACTCACTCTTCGTGACCTCTGACCATCAAAACGAGTCCGTGCTGACCGAATCGAAACGCATTGTGTTTCGCCACCGAAACCAGCTCAGAAATCGGCAAGACCATCAGAGTCCGGCCAACGGTCTTTGTAGCCATTCGCGAAGAGCGAAAGCAGACGTATCTGGTCGAAATGAACACACGACCCTGTACCGGCACAATACGATACAGGCTCGCGCTGACATCTGTCGAGAGAACCAATGACAGCGTGAGGCGTAGATCTCTGTGTCGGGACCGAAGATCCTGTGACTCACGGTATACCAATGCTTCTTCCTTAGGCAGTATAAAAGATGTCCGAAACTGGTGATCTCGGTCTGCCTCTTCTGCAAGCAAGGCCTGATCTGCATGTCCCTCGAGCAAGGAGTAATTGCTGCTCACAGAGCTGTCTAGGCTGCTCTCGACCGCTCGAACGGCGTCGCAATCATTCCCGGGCCACAGTGGGTCACCGAGTTCTGAACCATCAGGCGCTTGACTTGCACCAACCCAGTCGCGAAAGCCGAGATCAGCTTCGTATAGAGGCCTAGACCAGCTCTCTTGGACTTTTCGGTGAGGCTGACGCGCCAGAGCTGCCAGTTGCGCACTAAGTCGCTCTGCGCCAGGTCCTGTCACAGACAGCAATCTTCCCCCTGCCTCGCGCATCCAGCCGGGGAAGATGTGCGGTCGAAGCATTCGTGTTGAGTCTAGTGAGCTGCGTGCACCTCGTGAAGAGGAGAGACTACGTGGCGGGGCGCCAGCGACGCTCGCAGGTGGGTAGCGATGCGTGCCAGCACCAAGCGGGTTGGGCGTTCGCGGTGTTTCTGACAGCCTAGCTTGCGACATTGGTAAGGTCGTCTCGGAACTCGCATCGCGGTCTGGCAGCGTAGAGATTTCGCCGGCAGCCCTAGGAGGGATAGGGATAGCTTTTGGGCCCAGCATTTCGGTTGCCATGGGTGCGTCGGTCTCTGCTGGCGCAGACTTCGCAATTGGAGCGCTTGACGTCGAAATTTCGACACCGCGGCCTGAAGAGTACCTAGTGGAGCCAACATCAGTCCTTCCTTGCCAACTGCCGGCGAGGGTATCCCTCACACTGCCTGAAGAGGTTCTCCGTTCCATCCGCGGTCTGGCATTGTGATGCTCTATTGTATCAGAGAGTACTTCTACGAGATTGGACGGCTCGCCTTTGTGCCTGAAAAAGTACTCGTGTATAGCGAAGTCTTCGCCAGCTCCGTCTATAGTTTTGATGCACAGGAAGTCCCTGCTAGGCACCGCGCTGGCGGTTTGAGACGAGCTGGAGTCGCTTGGCATAGCGGCAATTTCAGAAGTTGATGGACCAACGCCTGTCTGCCCTCCGTACTCTACATCGACAATGGTTTCCAGTGGGATGGATAGTCTGACGCTGTCTCCATCATTCTGAGCTCGCATGACTGCGCTTCGCAGCGCAGCCACCCATGTTGCTTTGGAAGCTTGAGACGCTGCTGAGAAGACGAAGCGTCGATACGAGGTCTGAACGTAGAAGTCCAAGCTAGCATGATCCGTTGCCGCGTCCGCAGTCCTGCTTGGTTGAGCGTCATCGGCAGATTGCAGATCGGCACTGTGCTGCGAAGAACCAATCTCGATGATGTCGCGCAGGTCGATGTGATCTTGAGGAAAGTAAGGACTATGATGAGAGTCGTACCAGCTCAAGGCACGTTTTCCTAGCACTGCCCAATGCTTGCTGAAGCGCATTGTTCTGCGGGTCTTCTTTCTCAAAGCGCCGGCCTGCAACACGTCGCCTTCTGACGAGTCGTGAGTAGTTGGCAGTGGAGCGTAAAACAGCAGATGATCCGACGTGAGATAAATGTGGCCTGAAAGTAGCAACCCGCGCACGAGAAAAGCTTGGTGGGTCGCAAGCAGTGTTTCCGTACGGCCAAGACCAAAGATTTCTACCAGTTTTGCTGCCAACAACTGTTTCCGCTCATCCGCAGACAGCAGCGGCGTATCAGCAGTCGACGTAGCTAGTCGATGTGGCAGGGGAGATTCTGGGTCTGGGTCTGAGTCTGAATGGCAGTCAGGCCGAGACCGATCGAGCACTGCGGAGGACAGCATGTGCAGCGAGGCGGAAGGGTCTGGTGGTATTGATTCAGTCGAGGACGAAACGCGGCTAGCCATAGCTCGGTCCTTGCTCGCCTGCGGTGCCAGACCCGCAGCGGCCAAAGATTCTGTGGATGCCGCAAGATCGCTCTCGTTGCTCTCCTCTGCATCGCCATCCGCCTCTCGATCACTGGACTGACCCCGAGCTAACCGACTAGACCTGTTCGCGGTGCTGGGCCTGGTCAAAGAGTGGGGGCTCCTCGCTTCATGCGCAGCGTGAGCTGAGTATGAGGCCGCCAAAGGCGTGCGGCTGCCGACCGGGGTTGCTACGCGCATGAAAGAGAGAGCAGGTGAGGCGCGTGACGACCACATCAACCCACAGCGTTGACTTACGAGTATCATCCCATATCTCACTTCGCGATCCCTGGAAGCGCTTGACTCGCCGACGCAGTAGACCAGCGTTCGCCGTGGCAGGCTGACTTGGGCCAGCTGCGGAAGGTTTTGCCATGTACTCATCGTCATTCGACTCTTCAGCGTCCGACTGAGCACCGTACACTGATGTGCCCTCGAGTCTTGTAGCTGCCGAATCATGTTGCACTCCTTGGTCAGGCTCAGAAAATCCATCCGCTTCCGCTTCCGCTTCCACCAATCTAGAGCCTACCATGCTGAGCATCTGCAGAATGGGAAAGTGCTCACC